GAGGGCTGCCTTCTTAGTTATACTAGGGATGGGTCGTGAATTGCACCAGAAACAGGACAGAGGGCTGCCTTCTTAGTTACACGAAGGATGGGTTGTGAATCAGACCAGAAACTGGACAGAGGGCTGCTATCTTAGTTACATGAGGGATGGGTTGTGAATCGGACCAGAAACAGGACAGAGGACTGACTTCTTAGTTACACTAGGGATGGGTTGTGAATCCGACCAGAAACAGGACAGAAAACTGCCATCTTAGTTACACTAGGGATGGGTTGTGAATCGGACCAGAAACAGGACAGAGTGCTGACTTCTTAGTTATACGAGGGATGGGTTGTGAATTGGACCAGAAACAGGACAGAGGGCCGATTTCTTAGTTATACGAGGGATGGGTTGTGAAATGGACCAGAAACAGGACAGAGGGCTGCCTTCTTAGTTATACTAGGGATGGGTTGTGAATTGGACCAGAAACAGGACAGAGGGCTGACTTCTTAGTTATACGAGGGATGGGTTGTGAATTGGACCAGAAACAGGACAGAGGGCTGCCTTCTTAGTTATACTAGGGATGGGTTGTGAATTGGACCAGAAACAGGACAGAGGGCTGCCTTCTTAGTTACACGAGGGATGGGGTTGTGAATCAGACCAGAAACAGGACAGAAAACTGCCTTATAGATATCCTTATATACTGATGGTGTTTTTAACCTGAATAATGCATAGGGACCTTAAATATACAAATAGGAATTGGGATGTGAATTTGACAAGAAACAGCATATTGTGTATAAAACATCCTATTATAGTACTTTATAAGGGACATATACTCAACATTCCATCATTACCCCACGTTAGTGTAAACATAGACAGAACACAATTAAAACTTTGTTACATGTATATTAACGTCACACATCAAAGAGTAGGAAAATCCTATTCTTACTCATTGTGTGAAATAAACCCTAATTTAGTGCTAAAAGGATGAATTTGGCCGATGTTTTCACCGAGTAATATAGTCATATTAATGAATTTCTTTACTGGCACACCAAATATACTACATGCATCAACGACCTAGTGGGGTGCATCTAGAGCAGAACGGTCAACTTGGTGTAAAAAAAAAACTGATGGAGATAAAAAAATTACTACCTAGCTCATGGATATGATTATGGTCTTGGATCTTTTTATAGTCCTCAATTGACCAGAAAAGTCAGCCACCTAAGGGAACAATGACCCCTGTCTCTGCATACAGTTTTCAGCCAATGAGGTTAATATCAACTACATGTTGGAATTTTTTTACAAGGAAGCGCCTGACAGCAGGAGTGTAAGAGGTGTTGTCAGATTATATGAGAATGTTGGAAGGATTATTGATTTATGGTATAAATAGTCATAGAGAGCAATATCTATCACATTACTACTGGATACTTGTACAGATATATCTCATTAATAACTGTTTGTCATGAGAGAATAATGACAATTATTTTCCCAAACGCAGGAGCTCAAACTCTAGGCAATGACTTCTAAGTTACATCTGTCCTTACTATCCTCAACTTTTACAAATATCAAGTGTGATTATTACCATTGAAGCCCCAATATACCAAACTTTTATCAAGTGATCAAAAAAGAAATTTTTTTTATCACTTAAAATTATGTCATTTCTTGAAAAAATGAAAACCACTATATTATGGTGTTATTAAAATGTCAGCATTAATTTGTCACTCAATTTCACCCTCTTCTTAACACATGCCCTCCTTTAAATGATGAAACCAAATTGACTTTTCAAATTCTCCATAAAAACATGAGACTTTCTTGTGAAAGATCAGAAAGCTTACAAAATAGCAATAAAAATAAACTGCTTGCTTGTTTTCTAGGGTATGTAGAAAAGTCATTTGATATTTACAGCAAATATTTGATAATTAAGATGTTAGGAAAACTGTTTATATTTTTGAAATTTTAACTTTAACACTTTCATATTAATTACATTCTTTTCCTGAGCTTGAAAGGTTAAGGGACACACAAACATCAACAACATACAAACAGTTTTATTTATCTGTACTGAATCAGTACCTTGACCAAAAGGGGATCATTGAGTTTGCATTGAATAGTAGTGTTAAGTCTTACCAAGAGACCTGTAACTATGATTTCATAGCTGTAGCCTGTGATGTAACCATGCATGACCCACAGGTGACCGGATCAGTGATACAATATTATATCATTATTAACAATGGTAACTTATAAATAATGCTACTTGACATTGAGGTGACCAGTTCATTATCAACCATATTGTACCATATATTAATCAGGATATAACTACAAGACCTTCCATAAGGAGAAATGGTATTAGCATGTACATGTACTAAGGTTGCGTTCACCTAAGGGGTTGAAAAAGCATGTACATGTACTAAGGTTGCGTTCACCTAAGGGGTTGAAAAAGCATGTACATGTACTAAGGTTGCTTTCACCTAAGTGGTTGAAAAGGTTGAATTGGTTGAATCTCAGCACCTGCAGACTGAGGTGTCCTGGTGTACCTGTCCAAATCTAATTCGCTGAATATCATTAGTTTTCAGAATTTCATAATTTCAGCATAAAGCTAGGTCGGTGAAAGCACATATTTCTGGAGGCATTATGCTAAAAGTATGTGTTAAATCTATGGCATCTTATATCAAGTTAATTGGTTTGTTTGACAAGAAATTTTGAGACTGTTCATTTTGAGCTTTACATACATTACTTCAAACATCCAGCACATGTGCATTCGTGTGTATCGTTGAATAATTCCAGACCACCTGAACTGTTTTAACCGGATTACATGAAAGCAGCCCAAGTCTTTGCGTATATAATATATTAACAGAAGATATTGACTGTTATTTAAAAAACCATCATTAGTAGATATCATAGACTGCTGACATTGTCAACCTCCGATAAATTTGAACTTGATTTTATTTAGAAGTTTATCAAGGACATGATTGCGATGACCAGATCTAGAGTGCAAAGGAGACGTTTGATTACAGGGTAGGATATTGTTAATTCTTACTGTATATATTTTGTGTAATCTTGTCACTATTTTGTCAAAATAGCTAAAGTGTACTATACTTCATGATTGTAAAATGAAAAAACTTTGATTCATATCGATCTTGTATGCTGTGTAGTAATCAACAAAGTGCAAATATGCTTCACACAGGTTATATCAACTCAGATGAAGATGACAGTGTGGTCATCTAAAAAGCACACATAAGTATCTTACTGGTTGTGATATACAGGTAAGCACATCTTTTCTATACATACATGTAATCATTTACTTCAGTATCAAAGGAAGATCCATAAGGGCCCACAATTTTTAGCCTCACACTTCTGGATTCAAATCTTTGTAAATCATTTACATTCAGTTGAAGTGTTTATGGTAAACACTGGCTTAGAATGAACAAAATCAGAGAAATATTGCTGAACCTTGAAATCATGCTTGTGAAAATAAATTTTTTAATTAAGTTTGAACTATCGACATTGCCTAAAATTACGACAAAGTGTTTATGAACATTCTAGTAAGGCAGGAAACTAAATGGGAAAGACAATAGACTGCTTGGAATAGATGGAAAAAATGTATCACTTATGATTATCTTTTGAAACACTTATGTGTTATCACAGGTTTCATTTTGATCTTCATCAAGTTGGATATTGCAAAAAAAAAAGAATGCTAGCAATGACATATCAACATTTGGAGAGTGGATCAAGACGTGCAGCTAGGGATCAATAATGTTATTGAAAAAAATCATATGTTCAAACTTCCTGTCTTTACAACTCGAGGCTTACAGCAGTAGCATGTTCTGATATATATTAACGAGTAACTTCTACAAGACATGTTTGCTGATGCAGAGGAAAGTGGAAAAATATCATTGGAAGTAATTATAAGTACCAGGTAGTACATGGAGGAGAGCATGGTATACACTGATGAATGTTTCTACCTTGCTACATCAGGGACGTATTCATAAATAAGATGGAGAGATTGGCTCAGGAGTCAGATGTAAGGAAAACATAGGATATATACCGTATTTATCCACAAATATGACCCCATCCACAAAATTTGCCTCCTTCATTTATTGCAATTTCATCGATTTTCATATAAGCTAAAAGTAGATCATGTGTAAGCTCTCCCCAAATTTTAATACTAAGCATCTACAATGACGGAGGGAGCTTATTTGAGGATAAATAAGGTAAGCCCCCGGGGGTGGCAAAGAGATTATTCTTACTTAAACTCATGGGGAGAACTTATTATAGAACAATGAAATAACATTATAGAGTTACTGAACAGTAATATAAATGGTGGGAATATTACCATGTTAATGGCTTCATTGCTGCACAGATTTAGAAACCACAGTGAGGAGATTTTGATAGAGACCATACAATATCTGATGTAGACAATTGTGGTATAATTGTGCTTAAGTTAGCTGACACTTGGAATAGCTTGATAATCTTCATGCTGAAGAGGTTGAAACATATAATGTCAAGTGCACTTTTATCTTACACACCTGGAGAGTATTGTAATGAATTTCCCTACAAGCTTAATATACAAAAACAATGTATATATATATACCGTAAATTGACAAACATAAGTTACACAGCATGAGAATGATTATTTTTGGCATTTATCTACAGCTTAAAGCATTCCAGCCTCATTACAACCATGTTAATTATACTCATAATCTGTTTCTAATTGTGTGAAGTCTATCAGAATTCCTGAACAAGAGATGTACAGACTCCATTCTCTCTTCCTTTGAGTTTCAATTAGAGTTCTCACAAAACAATACATTTACATGTGACAGGCTGATCATCTATATGTCCTCTTTGTCTCAAAATACATTGACCTTCACATTGACTTTAGAATGTCTTAGTCATCAAACTGTTGGACTTAGTTGCTAATGATAATTAGAGTTATCAAGGAATTCAAAACTGGCTTCATCCAAACCTTCCTATTAAATCTTAATTTAGGTAACTTACAGTGAACCAATTAAATGAACCCATCAACTTACCTATCTTCCAGCTTCTTTGCGAAACCAAAATCTGTGATTTTTAAATGTCCATCCTTATCAAGAAGTAAATTTTCTGGTTTCAAGTCTCTATATACAATTAATTTGGAGTGTAAGTAGTCTAATGCTGACACAATTTCACATGTATAGAAATTGGACTTGTCATTGTTGAAGCGGCCATGATTGCGAAGATATGAGAAGAGTTCACCTCCTGGAACGTACTCCAACAACATATAAAGGAATCGGTCATCATGATAGGCCCATGTCCTGTAAATCAGAAAAATCAGGTTTTATCATGTGTTAAGCACCTGTCAAGGTTGTTAAAACTTTCTCCTACTTAATGTACCAATGAAGATGTGATCAATTTTATGCATTTTTTGCAGTATTGTTTCCATTTCATCGAAATTTTTATAAACATGTTATTTTTATTTGGCAATAAGCCAACGCCTGGTAATAAGCTAGTGCCATGTAATAAGTGTAGGACAACACCTGTATTAGTAGTTTGTAAGGGTGGAGCATTTTAGCTGTAACAAAGGCGATGAAGCAGTAAATCCACCAAGGATTAGGTGGGTGTGGATGAACATGATAGTTTAGGTCATATGGACAAGTCATTGTAGAGATATTTTTAGCCAAAACCACACGCTTACTCATAATTATTATCTAGGAATTATCAGTAGAGTTTTGTGTGTTAATACATTAAGACTCAGCAGCCCTGCCAAATTAATTCACCATGTTGTATCCCTGTACTATCCTTCAGCAACAGATTAGCCCAGCAACTAATAATCTCTATGTTTGAATATTGTGGTAGCCTCTATAGGGTTCATTAACCACATGAGGTTTTTTATATTCACTTCAAATATATGCTGTTTGAATGGAAAAGGCATAAAAGACAAGGGTGGTCGGGTGGCGCAGTGGTAATTTTGCACTCGCCTTTCACCTAGGTATGTGGGATTTGCTGGCTGAAATAGACGTGAAAACATAACTGGTCACCAGCCAAACTAGGAAATTTACCGAGGAGTTTTGTTTCCTCCTATAGCGTAATTCTTCATGTGTTGACCATCCAGAGTCAACAAGAATGTTTAATATATTGAAATAACCTGTTTCACAATTGTTGTAAAATAAATAAAGTTTTATAAAGGAGAAGAAAGCTTTTTGATATGAATTAGTCTTTGATACAGTGTCTATGTTAAACAATAACACAACAATGCAACCTACAGTCATTACACTAGGACTCCTTATTGAACGACACTTCGATACTCCAGTGGTTACAATCACTTTCGCTCTTTGCACCCCTAGAACATGTCATAGCAAAACCAGGTGGACAAGACATAAAGACTAGTTTGATCCTTTGATGTACATCAACTGAATCTCGACTTCACTAAAAAGTTTACTGTAATGACTATGAAGTTGGTCTTACTACCTTTATAATCTTCAAAAGGAGTGTATCAGCCTGTGATTGGTCAGGTTTTTTCTCCTGGAACCTATCAAATCATTCGCTTGTGCCTTCAATTTTGCCATGATATGTTCCTGGGGTGCAAAGAGATCATAACCCCTGGTGTATCGAGGATGATTGAAAGACAGCTAAGTACAAAGAGTGAAGAATTCTAGAAGAGAGTTTGGGACATCAAAACACACCTACACTAATGTGAAATGGTAGAAAGTGAGATTCTCTGCCTTCAATTCAATCACTTTGGTAAATTTGAGATATCCTATCATTTCAATAAAGATTCAACTAATCACTTGTATTCTTTAATCGATGGTTTAACTATTTATGAAAAACTCAAAAACTATAATTTTTTACAAAACTTAATACCTTGAAGTTTATCCACATTCTACATTTCATTCAATTACTTTTATTAGTATAATACGCCAGCAAATAGATAACATGTGATGGTGTTTCGTACTTAACACGTTTTCTATCAGAAGGTTTGCTCATTCATACTTACATGTTTACGATAAATGGATGTGAGACACTGGCTAGAATTTCTTTTTCATTTTTCACGTGTTCTATTTGTTTGAGTCGTATAACCTCCGTGATCTTCATTACTTTGAGTGCATAATACTCCTTATTTTCTTTGTGTCTGCATAATACCACTCGTCCAAATGTTCCGGTCCCTGAAATATAGAAATGTTTTGATTATTGATTTTACAAATCAATGCTTCCTTGAAAATGACATTGATGTTTTAAATCATACAGCATTCCAGTAGTCACCAGTATGAGGGGGTTCATTTTTCAAATAGAAACAGTTTTACACTAAAACTGAAAAGTTGGAGAAGATTATCATCTGCAATGAAGATCGTATATTTTGTCTATCTTCAATTGAGGTGATGCACATCATCTCACAAAGAAAATGGTAAGTGACAAGGTTGTGAACTATTCTGTAAAACCATTAAATTTACGGGAGGGTTATTTTTGTTGATTATGTGAGTAAAATTTTAAAAAATCCGGTAAAATTAGAAAACATACATTTTTTATGCTATAACCATCCACAAAGTTAAGTATATATGAGAAATCGACATTTTGCAAAAACCACGAAAATATATTGTTTCAATGCAAAGGCATTTTACATATACAATGAACTTTGTCATTGTCTGATAATAGAAGCAAGAAAAATATTTTAAATAATATGTGATATAATTCTCTTTTAAGTAAAAACAATGTAACTATGACAAAAAAACAACAAAGGGCAATAAATCCTTATAATGAAAACAATGTAAAGTTCTGTGACAGGAATCAACAAAGGGCTATAACTCTAAATAAAGTAAAAACAATATAAAATTCTTTAACAAAAATCCGCAAAGGGCTATAACTCTATACAAAGTAGGCATATGACCTTATTTCAGTACACAACATATTAGACCACCCCAAAACAGGTTCAGTCACAGTCAGAGAACAAAGAAGGACCTGAAACCTGATCTTACATGACGTGCATTACTTCACATCCCAGTGGTATGATGTAGTTTTTGGCAATTGGAAGAAAAACTTAGTTGAGATAATGCATTTGTCCTAGATGGGGTACATGGTGAGCAAAGGCCCGTAACTCTGAAGACAATGACCTACAGCTTGATACATTGCCATACATTATAATGGCTCTTGGCAACTGCAGGTTAAGAATATATCATTATATGCCACTAGTGAGAGGACATAAGTGCAGGTAAAAGAATATACATCATATAGGCCAGGCTGATGGGCATGCATAAAGAAACATACAAATCACCAAAGCTACAATCCTGTCCAGTATCTGCATGGAAAGTGGATGGAACTGTTTCTCAACATGACAGAATGGGTATAAACACTAAGTTGATTATAAAGCTAAGGGCTATAGACAATCTATGGTGAAGCAGCCAGGGAGTAACCTTTTACTTGACTGTAAGAGAGCTGATAACATTGGTGTCTGACCTTCAAATGTGTAATCATGGGATACCAAACAAATTATCAGACATTATCTCCATTGACTGGGGGGATCTGTTAATTAAATCCACTACAATGGGGCCTGTTATATCAAGGAAGTGCAATAACAAAAATGACTCAAAAGACATTAAGTACAGTTTTACGCTGAAGGAATCATTATCAAACTCCTTTTTTTACATTTCCTTGCCATAATCTTATCAACACAAGTAAATTCAAACAAGACAAAAACATAGACATGAACGGCAATTTAGTTTATCTAACCTGACAAATCTTAATAATCATATCTTATTACTGATTTCAGTAAAGATTTCAGTAAGTTACAAAATAAATACAACTGCATCAAAAATCTACTAATTGCTAATTTTTACCAATAATAGTTTAAGAACGTATAAAATAACATTAAACACCTTTGTCAAAATGTCCATCTGATCTCTTTTACAATCATTGATAAATTTCATAATGAAAAAAAAACACATTTTGAATGACTTGAATGTATTATTCATGTATTCAAAGTTAAAGGGGAGAGAATTCCAGAAATTAATCAAGGCTAATATCAAACTCTAAATGGAATGGTCTGTTTACTAATTCAGCTACCTAGTCATCATTATGGTTGCCAAGATTTATCACTGCACAGTGATAATGGTCGAGGATCTCTCCCCTCCTAGTATCCCTACACTTCAATAAATCAACACGTAGAGATATCCCCTGCCAGGTATACACCTGGAACAAATAGAATTTGTAATAAGCACCATTGTAGTGGAAGAATATGCAACAATCAACAGGATCAGGTTTTGGAAGCAAGGACTTCTGAAATCTAACCAGATTCCCTAATGCACAAGAATTGATTCCTCGAAAAATGTCCTATATCCATGTTATTGTCTATAAATCTGACATTCAAAACAAAAAAAAAAAGATGATTATAAGTAGAAAAATGTTAAAACTGTCCTTTTTGTACTTATGTCTTAACTTATGTACAATATGCATGTCGAATATTCACACCTACTTAACGATATTACAGGTGAGTAATCAGATTGAGATTTAGAAGACAAAAAGAAAAAGACCTGAATGCCAGTTACTGGTGGGAGGTTCAAGGGTGATTATAAACCCTAGGGGTGAAACATAAGAAGAAATAATAGTTTCTATAAATATCCTTTACTCATAAACCTTAAATAACAAAGCTGCTAATTAGTCGTCAAAATGACAGAATTTTCTGATCTGGAATCAACAATATCTGTTAGCATCAAGTGCTGCCACAGTAAATCAGTTTGTTGAGTGTTTTAAACCCTTTATCTCTCCAATAAAATGAAGAAAAGTTCTTCATCAGCTTCAAAGATAGAATTAATGTCTCATTCATAAAAAGAACAAACTTTATGTGAGAAAATATCAACATGCTGCATATTTGTTCTGTTAGCTCGGAACCTTGTTAAGGGTCAAGTTCTTGCTGGCTATGGCACTATTAGATACACCTAATTAGCCACTGTAATACAAACTCCTGGGGGTTGTATAGAGGTATGTAATGTGATACTGGACATTGTCAAGCTGGGGACAGTCTAATGAAATACACTGACATAAATACATCTACCTTATATAGATACAGAATTGTAAAGAATTTTAAATCTAGCACACATAGTAGTTAGAATTATAATGCCTAACGAACATAAAGATTAGGCTGAGAGCTTCTAAAGAGATTTTTTTTAGGCACATTTTCAGGTGCGTTCTATACATATACATATGAAATTATATTTGTATTATAATAAGATATTTCATGAATCAGAGAGAAGACCAGTTTGGGGATCCAATGATTTACCATTGTCTCACAGCTCTACAAGGCTTTGTCAGCTTGTGTTCTCCTTTTAGTACTGCCTCACCATTACAGAATGGTAATTAAGAGATCTCTCTGGTGGCGCTCTGACAAACAACAAGATTTTGACACACACATGATGCCAAGAACTATGACAGTGCTCTTTGTGGTAGTGTTGGCTCCTTTGATCTATTTATATTGTCAGAACCGTCCCAGAATAAACATGGTGTGAAGGCATCAGTCCTAAATGTGTAGAATTATTTATGTAAACATCAACATTGTGATTCATCGCCTTCCCATTGTCCAAATATAACCCTGTCCTTCACTATTACCTCCTTCTTTCCGTATGGTAAGACAAGCTTTCTTTTTTTTCTGTGTTTCCCAAATAACCTGACCATCCCTTTCTTACTACTATAGTATCTTCTCCCAATTGATTAGGGTGCCAAGATCACTAGTTGAGGGGTGGACAAGATTTATGTTCCACAGCAAACATGGAACACATGTTCACCACATTGAGTACCAGATTAATAAGATGGAACAGAAATACACCAGTCCCCAGCTGTTGAAAGTATGATTAGCTTAAAAATCCAAAAAGTCATATTTTCAAAAACCAATTTTTTTTTACAAAATATGAAAATTTATCAGTAATCACTATTCCATATCTTTTTAAGACATTTTTCAATCCTTATGTAATATTTTCAAATTTGAATTTCAGTATCTATTGAAAATATATCCAATGAAAAATGTGTTTTAATTTGAAGTAATGCTACACTATACACTGAACAACTGAAACAAGCTATTGTTTTTAGATACCGCACACTATCTAATAAAATCAGCTCAGAAGTACCTGCATCAGATCATAGAGCCATTGTTTAAGACAGACTACAACCAGTTAAAATACTTCTATACCGGTTCTAGAAAATAAATAACGATGGTTGCAGACAATAAGAAATCAGGAGCTAACTGCTGGATCAATGACTTAAGGAACTCCACAAGATGTAATACAAAGTTGAATGATTAAAGGGAAATCCTGAATTTCTGAAAGCTTTTCTCTGATTCAAACAGAAGCAATCTTGTTTTGTGGGTTTTATAGATACTCTGGTAAGTAGATACATAATGAAATCAGGAAGAGTTTATCACAAAATTGTGCTACCAATATATAAAACCTCTGGACAATATCTATGTGATCACTACAACATCAGAATTTTTATTACAAGTTATAACAAATATTAAAAAAAAAAAGACAAAATAAAGACTGAAACATTAAAAACATACAAAAAGCATAAATATCTTTTAAAAAATCACCAAAAACTAATTGTATATGTCAGAATTCCTGCTTTAATGACATCCCAAATACTAAAAGAATCTGTGATATTGATCTATTCATTTAACTAGCAATAAAACACCTGATGAATTTTCATGACTCCGAAGAATCATAACTGGCTTCCTTGACTGGAAATATAGGTTTCCTAATACTAGGCCTGACTGTAAAAACTTATTACTGTTGATATACACTGTACATCAAATTACTATTAAAATTTACACCAATTTTATTTTAAAATAAACACCACAATCAAAAGTACATCCTGTTTCTCATAAAACAGTTCCTTAGCTTAAATGCATGGAATGTATGTATTTACAGAAGCTTAAGGCCATCCACAATTGACTTTTAAAGTGTCATCATGCTGAAATACATGCAGTCAGAACTTTGACACAGTATAAGACGTTTCAACCTACTGCATATCAATACTTTGACAGAACTTGACATTTAAACAACCACCTTGTCACATGACCTTGTCATCAGTATCCATATTGGTTTTGTTTAAAATCTCATGTCAACAGCATAAAGAATCTTGATCGGTCTCAGTTTGGGGACAGTTATATACAGTAACATCAGACATT